CTTGGAAAAATACATTATATTTGCAGTGATATTGGACAATGATCCAATCCAATGTGTTGCCCTGTGTTGCCCTCACATGGTTGTTGCTTTGTGTTGCCCAATGTTGCTCTTTGAGAGCAAAGCAGCGGCCCAATGTTGCTGAAGATTCCTTTGTGATCACAATATGGTGCCTGTTCAGCCTCAAGAACAATGGCTTGAATGCGTGTTCTGTCAATATCTAACTCCAACACATCCTTGAAACCATGGATAGAGTACTGGAGTACTGCAGATTGATTGTGGGATTGGGCTGGTTGATCAAGCAAGCCTCTAGATCCTGATGATCAAGAGCTAAGAAGACTTTATTGTAGTATCTCCAAATCATCTAGCCAGAATGTTGAAGTCTTTCTGAGGCAGGAGAATTTGATCAAGTGTTTCTGACAACAAAAAGAAAGATTATGATTTGTTCTATGACAGCAACATTTTTGTATCCTCGAGGTATTTTTTAAGTTGTATCATTAAGCAATGGAAATCCACTTTATTCATTCTACATCATCCTTGGAAGTGTGGCCCCTGGGCTTCTTTTGTAAACTTGGTGTGCATACATGGCGCCTGTAAGTGCCAATGATTGACACAAAACCTTTGGACGATTGGATAGCTCAATATGGTTTACAGCGGAACTATCAATGAGGAGATCCACGAGTTCTTCATACTGCTGTCTCATGAACCTGATCACAAGGAGACAAGGAGGTCAATTGATCTTTGTGAGATGAAAAATCAGGGTCTGATATGGTTCTGGGATAAAGGTGTTAAGTTTAGGATGACAGTTAACTATATAGATTATGATGATTAATTTTATCAAAAATGAATTGCATGATCTATGAAAGTAGATTAATTAGAAAAACAAAACAAAAAGGAGAAAAATTGAATTGTGGGATTTTGTGGCAACAAAATGCACTTCACTGACTTTCATGAAAGTACATCAAAGTAATCCAGCCTAGATAAATGTAGCCTAAGTTTTGATGGATATGTATAATATGATCTGAGAAAAAAAATGTGAATATGTAAAAAACACATGGTGACTTGTTTTGTTGATCAGTTTATTGAAAAAAAAGAGTGTGTTTGATTACAAAACTCTTGTTGTGGTTTTAACACACACACAGAGTACACACAGACTTGTTTGAAGACGTATATGTATATGAGATATGATATGATTTTTCATCTTTATGATCACGGAGTTAAGGGACCCAAAAAGAATCAATTGATCGATCAAAACATCGTTACAATTTATGAATCATGAGAGATCCTTGATTCAGATATGTACATAATCAAATTCCGATACTTACATCACGATCGTGAATCGGGAAATGTAATTTGTAGATCATTTATTTGATTTTTTTCTTTCGTATGAATAGGGTTTTGTTTGTAAAGAGATCATCATTTTTAAAGTTTTTAAAAGATCGTCGAGGTTATGGGTTTCTTTATCTTCTTTCCTTCTTACTTTTTGAAAATCTAAAGGAAGAAATGATTTCGATTATGAAAGACTTTATCTTTTCAAATTAGGTTATAAGAAAAATGATTTGATTTACAAGTTATGTTTTGTAGAAATTTCATCATCATCATCATCAAAAAAAAAGTTTCGGAGTTTTTTTTTTGTATGTACATCTCTTGGGTTCGAACTTCGGACCTCGAACTTCAAACTCCGAGCTTCGATTACATAAACTTGATGGGAAAAAAACTCGGTTAAATAGTTTATGAAGATCAGTTTACAGTTCACGGGAGAGTTCCTTGAGATACAACACATCAAGATCGTCATAAGTGTTATTCATAAGGTTCGAATCTCTTCAGATCCATTTCTTGTGTTCCCCGATCAAACACATGACGAGCGGAAGTCTCGAAGTTCCAAGTTCGAACCGAAGGCTTTTTGAGTTGTGTAGTACGGTGTTGGTTGTTGTATAATACTTAACGAGTCAATGGTTTTTGAACTGGATTGAATGGAACATCGACTTGAGTTGATTACATAAAACATACTCTATGATCTGTTGAAAAGTTTAAAAGGAGTTTTGATTTCTTTGATGTACAAGCTTGTACAACCATCTGTAGTATGTACACCTTAGTGCAATTCTCACCACATGGCAGCATGGCAGCATGAAGCCATGTGATGGAAGTTGAACGCTTTGAAGTCTGGAGTTGACAACAGGTCTTATCAAACAATACTCTTGAGTTTAACTTGAACTTGAATCCTCGATCAATAGTTTTAGATTTGAATGGTTGTAGTCTAGAATTCATAATTGTTGGTTGTTTTAGTATGTGTGTGTCTTCTCTACAAGATGAATTACTTTACTACACTTACTTAGATTTGTTTTTTTTCATCTTCTTTTTGTTACAACAACCATTGATTGACTTTACACACCACCTGATTTTGACACTCACTACATAAGTCTATCTACTTACATCACTCTGTCAAGTTTCAATTGTTGTTTATTTTTGGATCGGATCAAATTGAATGGTGGTGGAATTGAGTTGATTATTTTTAATGATTTGAAATTGAAATTTTACACTAATCATTAAAAAAACGACGAGGAGGAGGACGACGACGATTAGAATTGGTTTATAAACGAATTTAATTGGTGGTTTTGGAAACTTTGAACTTCATACTTACCTTCAAGTTGGTGTTTTGTTTTGTTCTTGTTCAGTAATTCTTCTTCTTCTTCTTCTTCTTGAACTTCATTTCAATTTTCAATACATCTTTAAGATCTTTAAAAGACTTGCAAAAAGCATTTTTACAAACATAAATCATCATTTATACATAAATCATACACTTTTAGTCTCAAGATCTGATTAGTCTTTTTTTCTTTCTTTGATTTCAGTTTACATTTACTTTTAGGATTCACTCTAATCTAGTGTTTTCTTGTTTTAATTTTAATTCCTAGATTCATATCATCTTGTTAACTTTATAATTCTTTGGATTGGGTTGGGATCATAATAAATACACTTTTATTTTTTTCATTTTTTTTTTTTGATAAAATCCATTCAAAGATAATTAATTAATAGATCAAAAGTTAATTTTTTTTAAGGGGGGGAGCAGATTAGAAGAAAGCAGAACATCAGATTTTATAATTTTATTAAGAAGGGTTTTTCCTTGGAATATATTGATTAAATTTTGAAGATTCAGTTTGATTCTATCAAGTATCAATTAATCCTTAAGATCAGATTGATTGATTGATCTTCAAGTTGACAAGTTTGTTTGTGTGAGTAAAAGTTTTGATTAAACTTGAATGTAGATCAGCTAGTGAATCCAAAATTGAAAGATTGATGATCTGATTTTCTGATTTGGTTTGGTTTGATTAGATAAGTGTGATCGGCTCAATAGTTTAGCATTACAGCAGAGTTGAGTTGACTTGCTGGTCTTCTCTTAAACTTTTTTGAATTTTATAGTTTGATTTTGATTTTTTGATCGATTGTTGTTAATCCAATCCAACTCATCAAACCATCAAATCATCAAACCAGAACTGATGAGTAGTAAAATGGCAGGACCCATCTTAAGCAGTCAATCTAATTCACATTCAAATCAATCTTCAATCTTACTTTCAAATTCAATCGATCCTTCAAATCATCAATCTTCATCTGCTTCATCATCAGCTTATCATCATCATCAAACTCAAGATTCAATTCATCATCCTATCATCTCAAAACCTACCTTACCTGGTATCGCTAGCATTCTTGCTTTTGCCGGTCAAGGTCAGTTTCTTAATCTCTGACTTTTCTTTCGATGGATGGATGATCATTAACCATCATTCTGATCTTTAGATCCTCATCTCTCAAGACATTCTACTACTTCCGATCCAACTGCTCATCTCCTACCGCTCTCGGCTTCTCATCTATCTCCAACAAGTGGTCAACTACAGCAATCACTCAGTAGGACTTCAAGAATCAAAGATGCTCATCATCTACTTCATCAATCTTCTTCTTCTTCATCCTCTTCTTCTTCTTCATCACCTTCATCCTCATCTGCACTTCAACCGAATACGATTGCTATCCTAAATGAAACCGAACGAGAGCATCATAGGAATCCAAACCAATCTACTCATGAGACTCGATTGGAATTTGCTCATTCTCCTCATCCACTCAGGTCTTCAACATCAAGTTTACCTTCAGTTCAACCCACTCATTCACCTATTCAATTTCTTACCACTGATCATCACCATGATCGGACATCATCATATCTCATCAGTCCTACATCCACCATCACTAGTTCACCTCATCATTCAAGAATAGATCAAATCATCCATCATCATGATCATCCAAGCTGTCATTCTCCATTCCAACATCATTCAAGGAAACTCAGTAATGGGTCTTCAGCTTCATCTACCTCGTTTCCAAGTGATTATGATCCGTTACCTAATGAGTTTGATCATTCGCTTTCACTGAGTTCTTCTAATCCTACTTCTTCAAACCTACCTCATTCCTTTCGTTCGACTTCTCAATCACATCTCTTACATTCGACTTCACATCAATCTTTAAGAAATCCACATGAACTTCGTCCTAGGATCGAGATCAATTCATCATTACCTATCCCATCCACTTCATCATCATCTACATCTACCATCAAACCCAACAGCACCGCCACCTCCACCTCAAGTACTACCAGACGACCGATTCAGTATCATGAAGACTCTCAACTCTTGCCCACAGATACATTACTTTCATCTACTTCAATCCAAAGTTCAGGTTCGTATTATGATGATACACCAGAGCCACGTCGAACAGATCTACCAACACCTCCAACACCTAGAATGAAGAGGTTTCAAGAAAGTATAGAAACCAGAAGACCCGAACCCGAAGCTTGTTCAATAAGTCTTGGACCCAAAGGATCATATCATCTCTTACACCATACTACTCAACCTTCTTCTGCCGCTTCTTCTTCTTCTCAATCACAAAACACATCAACAACAGAGCTTTGTCAACCGACACTGACAGGAACGGTGGCCTCTAGTCCGTTTACCTTTGCTTCTTCTTCGGGTACCAATCGGTATCAGTGTAATGAGACGGGATGTGGAAAGACTTTCTCGAGACCATCTTCTTTGAAGATTCATTCTTATTCACATACAGGACAGAAACCGTTTAAGTGTTTTAGATGTGATCGAGCGTTTTCGGTTCAAAGTAATTTAAAACGTCATCAAAGTAAGTCTTTCTTTTTAATTTGGATTTCGGATTTGATTTTTGACGGGTTTTTTTTTTTGGTTTTGTAGAAGTACATGAAAGGAGAAATGGAAGAGGATGTAGTCTTGGAAGTGGGAGTGGTAGTAGAAGAGAATCGGAATCGTCTTTGACTCATTTATCGAACCTTTCTCCTCATCATCATCAGTTACTTCATTCTTCGAATCTGGTAGCTAGTGGATCTGGATCTGGGAATGGGAATGGAAGTGTGGGTGGAGGTGGTGATAGTGAGGAAATGGAGGAGGATTGAAGTTGGGGAAGGTTTTTTTTGGAAACGGATTGGGAAAAGGTTTGGGGGATGGGTGTTTGGTGGAAGTGGATTTGGTGGAAGAAGATTTAAATTGAAGAAGATTCATTAGAAGAAGATTTAAATAATGGAAGAAGATTCAATGTTAGAGGATTTATTGGAAAAAAGTTCATCTTGGGATCCTGATCAATACCATCATTTCATTTTTTTTTACTTTGCGGTTACGGTTATAATTTGATATATAATTTTTTTTTGTAAATGTGAATGTGAATGTGTTCTTTGTTTAAGTGTTCTTTGTTAATGTGTTCTTTATTGAAATGTTTGTGTTTTGTGTTTTGTGTTTGTTTTGGAATGTTTTTGTGGTTGTTTTTGGAATGTTTTTTGGAATGTTTTTCTTTTTTTTTTCTTTTTTGGAATTGTGTTTGTTTAATTGATTTAATGGTTTAATTGTTAATTGTTAAATGTTAGAATTACTGTGATTGTTTGTAGCTTTTTTTTTTTTTGGAAAACCTTTACCCTTTTTTTAATGGTTTCTTTTTGTTTCTACATTTTTTACTTTACTTTGGTTTGATTTTGATTTGATTTTGATTTTATAATCTATTCTATACTATTCTATTCCACTTCCATCTTCAATCATTTCATTCCATTTCATTTCATATCATTCCATATCATTCCACTCTATTCCATTCTCTTTCATCCTATTCCATTCTATTCTATTTGATTTGATTTTATTCACTTCATTCAAAGATATCTAGATTCATTTTGTTCTTTTTTTTTATTTTGGATAACTTGGATTCTTTTGTTTATAATAGAAAAAGGAAGGAAGGAAGGAAATCATCACATATAATATAAAATTTTAATTAATTTTTTTTTACATTTTTTGTTCCTTGTGGGAACTTTTTGTTTGATTTGGGAGTTTGAGTTTGAGTTTGAGTGTGAGAGAATGGAAGAGCAAGGAAGAGGTGTGTATGTAGGGTTTTGAAAGTTTTTTTCTTGGATTTTGTTTTATTCCATTCACTGGGATTATTGGGATCAACGGATAATGATCATCAGATGTGTCAGTGAGGAATAAATGAAGCTCTGCTACCTTGACTGTGGTTCTGATGATCTGTCTTAGTTCTACTAGCTAGGTACAAATGAGTCTGATAAATTTGGTGTATAGATTGATACTGATTTGATTGATGTGTTCTCTTTTGGCCAGTGATCATGAGATCATGAGTGACTACCACTGGTGAGTTTGGATGACAAATCCTTTTGAGGTATTACTTGTATTGTTCAAATGCACATTAATCTAAGATTTGTATTTGATGATGCAGATGTTGAAAGATTGAAGAAGTGATCTAAAAGCTTGGTTTTTCCTTTTTCTCTTGAAGGCTTTTTGGAGTCAATTATCTTCTGTATTGGATATCTTCAAAAGAGAGAATGATCAAAGGGATTTGTGTTGGTTTGAAAAATCTAGATGATAGTGAAATTTTGAAGTTCCTTATGACCAGATCACAAACCTACTGGTAACTGACCTTTGAGATTTTTTTTTGCTAGAGTAAATGTGTTTGGTAAATGATTTATTGGGTTGATCTTTACTTTTTGTTGCTTCAAAATGATTTGTTGATTTTCTATTTTCCACTTTTGTAATGAAGCTACACTCATTCAGCAGTTTGAAAATTACTGTGTGATGAGTAGTTTCCATCAAATAACTAATTTCAGTATTTTCAAACAAACGTTTTTCTGGTTGGGTGACTGTTTCTTGTTGTTTTCTGTAAGTTTGACATATGGGTTTTGGGATTATTTTTGCTACTTAATTTATTTGAATCATTTTGAATTTTGATCCTGAATTTGAATCTGAATTTTGGAAGATTGTGATCCTGAAAGTTTTAATAGAATTTACCCTATTCTTGGTAATCTTGGTTTAGTGGATTCTTTATGTAAATGAATCTTCTCAGTTTCAGTACTTCAAAAAAGACATGCAAGGTTGTGTAGTATGTATAGATTTTTGACTTAGGTTTCTTTACAATTACAGTACTCAAAGCTGTGTATACTTTGCCATGTATGGTTTTTTGTTTTGTTTTGTTGCAGCTAGACACAGCCGGGAAAAAGTATGTCTTTGGTTTGAAGCTCAAAAATATGTACTTCTGAGCCAGAAACATAGTTTTTCCTGGTTGGGTGTAGTTGTGAAAAAAGAAAAAAAAACTATGTATGGTAAAGTATGCACAGCTTTGAGTACTGTAGATGATCAGGAGTTGTTTAAAGTTTAGAAACCTAAACAAGAATGAGAAAACGTTCAAGAGAAATGATATTTTTTGGGGGGATGATAGTTCATACATATGCAAGTGTTTTGAAGGTCATAAGATAAAAAGCTTGCATGGTTGATCAGGTGATTTGGTAATTAGACTAGAATTGGGATTCTCGAGGTTTTTGTTCTTCAGACTTTGATTTTGATTTCCATCCATTCTTGTGTTTCAGTATATCAACAGACTTTAATGATGATTTGTTCACAAAAATTGATTCAATCAGGATGGCTGATAGATGAAATGGTAAAGTGTACATAGTCAATTCTTTCTTTTTGGCTTTTGATCTTGATTGAACCACTGTGTACCCTCATTTAAGTTTATTCTAGATTTTTGGACAAGGCTGATTTGGACATTGTTCAGTGTCTACATGGTTGATTGAAAGGAAATCAATCAAGATCAGATGAACGACTTGAGAACCATGAAGTGTCTGAATTGACTCATTGCACAGATCAGTTTTGATCAAAGAGATTGAAGTTGATTGTGATTTTGATGAGTTGTGAGTTGAGTTCAATTTGGATTGACTGAGAAGCTCTTTGGCTGCTTGGTTTCCTGAGGCCTGCCACACATCATCAAGTCTTGTCCCTTAGCGCACAACTGGAAGACAGTTGTGAACAGTATAGGAAACCCTGTGCCAGCAATGCACGACACACAACAACACCCAGCAGCGGACACTGTGTTGCAGTAAGTACAGCAACAACAAACGGTAAGCTTTTGCACGGTGCCATGATCACCACGCAACAGCACCAAAAAAATGCTGAATTTGCTTTTTTGGGTAGTACCACAACAAATGTTGTTGTGGCGCAAAAAAATTGTTGATTTGATGCATCTTGTTGCACAGCGGGTCAGGCCCCAACCTTGAAATCAATTTTTTGGTGTGGTGGGGTCAGAATAACCGCAATGCAAGTGCAGCGCAGCACACAATACCTGTGTTGCTGGCCCAGGGTTGGTATAGGGAGAAGCGTTTTTCATGGGCACTCATATCAAAGCAATCAACTGGTGTGGTACAACAGCTGTGTATGTGGTATGTATGGAAATCTTAAACTTTCTAACAATCAAGAGAAAAAGATTGTGATTGTTAAGTAAGAGGACAATGGGTTTTTTTGTGTATTTGTTTTACAAATTCAGACAAGTTTTTCATAAGAAAACAATATATGTCAAGACCTTCAACTTGAAAAATCCCTTATAGATGTCACTAGCAGGCTCAAGTGAGTGGATTCAATGTGAGCTGGATTGATGTAGTCACAGTGTACAATCACTTATTTTATTAGGTAATGGTAGATGTATAGTAATTATTTGGATGTGATTAGGTACATATAACACTTGGTATGGTGATGTTTTTAGGATAAGTATGAGGACAAGTTTGGTCCTGTGATACACTAAAACAAGTGTTGGAAAAAAAGTCAAGGATCATGAAGTAGTCTTGTTCAAAAGAGACATGAGTTTGAGTTTTTTTTTGTTTTCTGGTAGGGCTGCCACTGCAACTAGGGTTTGGTCATTGAAGGTTTGAAAATCTTTTTGAAATATTTTGGTTATGTTTTGGTCATGTTAGATTTAAGATTGAAGGGTATGAAGAGGGTTTGTAATCCCTTTGGGTCTTTGTGGTAGGGTTTCCTTTTATGGTCTTTTAGACAAAGACTTTTGTTTTCAGATCTATGTGCTTGATCATCAGTTGGTCTTATAAACTTTGAGATTCAGTATGATTTTCTAGGAACAGATCATAGTACTAAATATGCAAGTAGATAGATATACAGCTGGATGATCATCAACAAGCTTATTACTTTGCTTCTTTGGAAGGATATTGGTTTGGTGTGAATTAGTTTTGATTCATATACTCCTTGAAAATCATTGGACTTGGAAAAGAAATACTTCAATTTACATTGCTTGAAACCCATGCTAAGTGTTTGGCAGCTGTTCCAAGAATAATTCAATTGAATAAGATTGGTGTTTGAAAATATATATGGGGCCTAAGACCCTTTACAAGTATGAAGAAAAGCATAAGACATGATTCCTTCATGAACTTCCAAGACATGTTTTTCTAGAAGAAGTGATTAGTTTGGATCTCAGAAGTTGTAAAGCTATATGATTTTTGATTCTTAATGTATTGAGAGAGAAAGAATTGAATAGGCTTTATGAGGAGCAGACTGTATAGATTTGATGACCTTGTAGAGTATTGAAGGATCAAACCAGTCAGAATGATGAAGTCACATTTGGGTAGCTACATAGAGCTACATGGCATGGATTAAGAAAACATCATCCATCAACTCTCAAGTCTCACACAAGTCAGAGCCGTAGATCCTTTAGCCAGGCGTTTTTGAGTAATGGAGAAGCAGAAGATTCGGACCATGATTATATTTTATGCAATGGCATCCTGGTATTTGGAGAAAGTCTTGTTCACAAATGGATTTGGAAATCAGGCTGAGTCGACAAATCATATATATGGTGAGGATCTCACTGAAGTGCTGGTTTCAATGTTTAGAAAAATATGTACAGGGCTACACGCCTTGATCAGTGATGAATTGATGCTAAGTTGACGGTGCATACAAGTCTGTGTTTATGTCCCCTGAAAGATCGGCAGTGAGCTCGGCAACATTTTTCCAAGTTGAGAATAGGTTTGGTGCTGGAAGTGATTCAAGCTGAACTCACGATAGAGAGATTAGCCTGAATCGGGGCAGGAAGCCCTAAATTGCAATATGGAATAAAAAGGACTATATGAATAGTTTTTATGTACATAAGCAAGACTCAAAGGCATCAGTAAGGTCCGCTATGGGGCGGCCTAAAAATCAAACTAAAAAAGGGAGAGGAGGGTGGGTTCGAAAATCTTAATTTAAGGAATTAAGAATCCTTGGAAGTCTTAACCAAGGCACGACTTAAGGATTGAGTTCCATGTAAAAGATCTAGGGTAACGAGAGTAACTGTACAGCCTGTATTGTGAGAACAATTTCACACTCTGAAATTCCAAACTCGGAAAATTTCTTTCCATGTTTCGTAACCTCTAGATCCTTTAACCAATCAACTTCCAAATACCTTCATAGTTTTTATACCAAAAGAATCATCTCTCGTGAATTGTTTTTGTAGAAGATCAAGATCAAGATGTCAAATTTCAATGAAGAAATGGAAGCCACCAAAAACAAGGTAAAAGCCGCTGGAACCAAGATAAAAATCACGAGGAAAAATCAGGAGAACAAAGAAAGTTCAAAAGCGACCACACGGAGTCAAGCGAACGCGGAAGCTAGCGGGAGCGCACCTCAATCAACATTGACAGAGGTACAAGGGGACAACAACGACGCCCAACATGATGAAGAAGCGAAAATAGATGAGCAGGCAGAGAACAACGGAGCACAAGGAGAAGCGGGTGGACTAGAACAAGGTAAGAAAGAAAAATTCCAATAACGCAGTTAGACTCGCGAACAACTCCAATACCACACACCATATCCTAGACCGCAGTCACGCCCCCAACCCTTTTTCTTGCACTCTCCTTTTATTCCCCCCCCTTTTTTCTCTCTACACCCATACACCAAATCCAAAAAATTTCCTAAAAACCCTTTCCCATACACACACGAGATCCTAGTCATCCCATACTATCCCAAACCAAAATAAAAAAATCCACGAATATGTCCCGAGGTTTCCTTGACCCGGGCGAGATCCCAAAGAAAGATAACAGTAGCGACAAAAAGAAAGTGCTCCGGTCACTTTGTTTCACCGAGGCAGGCACAGGCTATACTGTGACCAAATAAAAGAGAAAAAGTGGTTTTAGAAGAAATACACAGAGCCGTATCTCCAAAAGACCGAAATAGAAACCAGGATGGGGAAGCAGAGTCCAGATCCCTAGTAGAGTAATAGAAACGAGTGTTGGAAGAATGTAAACTTACCAAATTTTAAAAAAATTGCGGAACAAACGACAGATCCGATAGACGATGAAGCGAAAAAAGCCAGGTGGATGGCACGAACCGAGCACGAGTACTACTACGGTGACGCGGAGAGAGCCGATGAGATGCTCAGAGCTTTCAACGCCGTGTACGGCGGGGCACCACCAACCCAGGAAGACCGGGACAACATAACCAACAACGTTGGTAACAACGTAAACCGTAAACGCAAACCACCGGCAGAACTAGAGAGGGTGGAACAACACCCAAACCAAAGACCGAGAACAGAGTCTCTAGTACCCGGAGGAGACAGCGGTAGCGAAAACGACTACACCCCAGCGGAAGACGTGAGACCGGAGGCTGTCACTGAGCCGGCGAAGAAGAAACGTGGAACCGCGAGAAAAGAAGTCGACCAAAGTGAGGAGGAGGAGCAATCTGGTAAGCGATAGAAAGCGATGGAAAGCGAAAATTTAGCAACGGTGATGGTAGAAACACAAATAAGCTGACGGCAGGTGATAATTGTCGCAATGGTACAGAGACCGAGGACGGAATAACGTACATGTTTGGCAAGCCCATTGAAGGAACCCTCTTACTACCTCTCACCCCGTACTTCGAAAACCGGATGAAATCCCTCAAAGGATATGTCCAATTGACCGTGTTCGACCCGGCATGGATAGAGAAAGACCATCGACAAGTAGGGAAGAAGAAGACAAAAACCCTGAAAGAGCTACAAGACGACGACTTGACTGCGACATACTCAGGTCTCGTCCCACCGGAAGAATTACTGATGACCTATGGGGCATGGACGGACGCCATCGACCTCTTCATCAAATACTTAGAGTGTGAATACAATAGACCGGTTGCGGCGAAGATGTTCAGACGCCACAAAGAAAATGTGGTAAGAATAAAGAGGTCCACAAAGTGTTGGATGGTGGCATTGCGTTACTGCATGAAAGTCCGGTTGGTAGTAATGGTGGTGAAAAAGAGCGGGGGAAAAAGAGTCATGATAGACGCCGGAGTCCTGCACGAAGACATCCTTCGAGAGGCGAAAGAGGAAGCGGAGAACAAGGGTGAGAGGAGGTTCCAGGAGAACCCATACGTCGCAGGTGGCGGAAAAGAAGCCATAGACCCAACGACCGGGCAAACTAAGAACGAGGCGAAAAGAGCTTTCGCTTATCAAAACGGGAACGGAAATAACCAAAGTAAGTAATAGAACTCAAGTTCAGAAAACAAAATCCCAAAACTGACGGAATGCTACGATTCACGTACCTAGACGCGTCCTTTAACTCGACAGGCGGGAGTTTCAAGCAGGCCAACACAGGTTACCAAGGCCGAAACTTCATAGCAAATTTTAACGCGAACAGAAGAATCAGAGGTTTCTGGAACGCAGGCCAGAAGTCAGATGCGACCCAAGTGTTCGCAGCTAACAACACGAACAGCGGTAGGGGCAGGGGTAGCTGGCAGACAAGGGGAAGAGGCGGAAGCACGACGGGAGGTGAGAGCACGAGGACGGTAGCAGAGTTGGACAAACAGTGAGTCGGGCTGCGTGAGAGATAGAAGAAGTATTTTAGTCTAAAGTGCACAATATGAAATGAAAAGTAACTGTAAGGAGTACACGTGTAGGCAGGATATCATGGGTTTTACATTATGGGTTTATATAGTTTCATTATACCTTTCTCCTCAACGCCCGGCTTCGGAAAGTCCTCACTCCTCTGAGAGCCTTACTTGGACTTTTCCGGAGCTAGGTGAGAATTCAAGCTTTTCTCTTATTTCTCTGTTTCTTTTACTGTGTTTACTTTACTGACTCCTCTGAGAGCCTTGTAAATGGCTGAGGACACCGTGTAGACCTGATGATAATGTGCTAATCGTAAGCACCTTCTCCACAACCTCAAGTGTGCAGACTTGGGTATAAAACTAACCTGATGATAATGTGCTAATCGTAAGCACCTTCTCCACAACCTCAAGTGTGCAGACTTGGGTATAAAACTAACCTAAAGTTTTCGGAGGAAAAGTAAAGATGAGAATGAAAGATAAGCAAAAGGCAAAAGCTTCGATGTAAAGCTGATCTACTGGAATTCTCTTTCCAACAGATATGATTATATTTCTAGCTAACCTGATGATAATGTGCTAATCGTAAGCACCTTCTCCACAACCTCAAGTGTGCAGACTTGGGTATAAAACTAACCTAAAAACATAAACAACAAAAAGTAGAAAAACGTAAACAGAGAGAAAATAGATGATGTGATAACTGTTTGTATAAGTACCTAAAGTTTTCGGAGGAAAAGTAAAGATGAGAATGAAAGATAAGCAAAAGGCAAAAGCTTCGATGTAAAGCTGATCTACTGGAATCTACAGTATTGAGTAGTTAGTATACTACGATCGCGAGAGAAAAGGTAACGAGGTACTTACTCTCTTTCCAACAGATGGGGAAGAGAGTAAGACGAAAACGAGAAAAGATATATATAAGAAAACAACTTCAAGATAACATTGGGATTGATGTGCGCAAACGTTGGTTGGGGAGATATAGGAAAACATATCACACAATGACAAAAGCTAATAAGAGACGAGAATTGATAACCTGTTACACTTCCTGACACCACACTACACGCTCAACTAAATAATTAGCGTTAGTCTTGATTGTATTTTAACACACCCCCTCAATCAAGACACGCTAAGGACATTTCTTGAGACCTACACTTTTCATATGCTCCCAAAACGGGCCTGGATGCAACGGCTTGGTAAGTAAGTCCGCCGTCATATCTTCTGACTTGCAGTAATTTAAAATGATTTTATTTTGTTTCACTTGCTCCCTTATCCAATGATGTTCTATATCAATATGCTTCGTTCTTCCATGATTAACCGCGTTTGAAGAAAGATCAATAGCTCCTAAGTTGTCACAGTTGATGCTCACCGGTCCGTTCCATTGAAAACCTACATCCCTTAATAAATTTCGCAACCATTGTACCTCCTGCCCGGCCTCAGTTGTGGCCCGGTATTCCGCTTCAGTAGACGACAAAGCTACCGTCTGTTGTAGACGTGAGCGCCAAGAAATAGCACCACCGAACAAAGTTGTGAGATAGCCGGTTGTTGAACGCCGTGAGTTCTTACACCCTGCCCAGTCGGAATCTACATTTGTCATTGGTACGTTCCAGCTGGACTGCATTCTAAAAAGTTGATTGTCTTGAGAGTGATAATGTATACCGAGATGGAGCGTTCCCCGGAGATATTTCAGGACGTGTCTGAATGCGTCCCAGTGGCGTTGACAAGGTGTGTCGAGGTGCTGAGATAGGACTCCTACCGCATATGCGATATCTGGCCTTGTACACTGCGAGATGTACATTAGGCTTCCAACACCTGATCTGTAAGGCAGGTTCAACGTTGCAAAGTTGGCCGCTTCTTCAGGCGTAGATTTCAGAAGTTTTAGGCCTCCCTGCACAGGAGTAGAAACCGGTTTGCATTCAGATAGTTCGAAGCGCATAAGCAGCGACTCAGTCATCGCACGCTGGTGGATGGCATAATGATGCTGTGATAGGCGCATAGTTTGAATTCCAACAACGCATGTTGCCACCCCGAGGTCGTCCATTTCCCAAAAGTTGCTGACTTCTTGCTTGAATAAGATGATACTTGAGATTGGACCGGTGATTGCCATATCGTCGACGTGGAGGTAGAAAATAATGATGTCAGACTTAGACCGTTGCCGGATGTAAACGCACTCGTCGCCTGCAGCCTGCTTGAATCCTGCTTTGATGAGTTTGATTCGGAACTCTTCATTCCACTCATGCGCCGACTGTTTCAATCCATATAAGGCTTGAAGGAGTAAACAGACCTTATCCTCGTCCCCAGGTAAAACGTAACCTTCGGGCTGTTCCATATATACGGTCTCTTTTAAAGCTGAGTTGAGGAACGCTGCTACAGCGTCCATAGAGTGGATGTCCCAACCAAAATAGGCTGCGATTGCAACCAAAATACGGTAAGACGCAGGCTTACCAGTAGGAGCATACGTTTGCTCATAATCAACACCAAACGTCTGCGTGAAACCCTTCGCAACAATTCTTGATTTATGTTTTCTTACAGATCCGTCAGGGTTGTGCTTCACCTTGAAGTGCCATCGTGATCCGACCACAGGTGCGTCTTTTGGCCGGTCCACCAGTTTCCACACCCCCTTCCTCGACATATTGTCCATTTCCTTTGCACAGGCTTTGATCCATTCATCTCGACTTGGACTCTTCATGGCTTGCTTATAGCTGTTAGGCTCTGAAACTAATCGGACGGTCGACTCGGCTGCGAAAGCGTAAGCACAAACATCGCCCTTGCTGATCAGGCAGTCGTCCTCCCAGAATGCCAAGTTTGAGTTGGGCACAAACCGATCAACTGGCCTGCTGACTCTTTCCGAGCGACGAGGGAGGGCAGGTGGGGGATTTGGATCAATAACAGCTTGAGGTTCGATCACTGCAGGTTGTTGTTCGATGACTACTAGTTGCTGATTTTCTTCGTCGTCGTTCGGAGTGAGAATAGGAGTTGGATTGGGGTTAAGCTCAAGCAAAGACACTTCTTCTTGATTAGTGGTGAGGTGAGAGATATCAAAAGCAGGAAGGCGAGTGAAAGGATAGACATCTTCGCGGAAAGAAGCGTCATGCGTAATCTCAATTTTCGATGTGTTGAGCATGAATACGCGATAATTTCGATTGTGTTCAGTGTGACCCACTAAAACGCCTTGCTCCGATGTAGGTCCGTACTTGCTTTCACGGTCAGGCTTGCGAATTAAAACATAAGTCAGACAACCGAAGGGTTTGATATGGGTAACATCAGGTTTTCGATGATACCACATTTCATAAGGCGTTTTATTCTTCGGAAGGGTTGTAGTGGTGGTTCGGTTATTTAAGAAGACTGCACTCTTCACCGACTCCATCCAAAACCTAATAGGTAAATTTGCTTCAATTAGCATTGCCCGTCCTTTGCATACAACAGTCCTCATTGACCGCTCAGACACGCCATTCTCTTCTGGGGTGTATGCTGCTGTCACTCTGAGGTATATGCCTTCACGTTGACAGTAAGGTAAAAGGACGTCATTCAAAAATTCACCCCCGCCATCAAGAGTTAGACATTTAACCTTTCTGTCACATTGACGTTCAACGAGGCTTAGATACGTATGAATGGCGACATGGACTTCATCTTTCTCTTTTGACTTAAGTCCGGTGATGTGGCGATAAGAGGTGTGATCATCTGTGAAAAGAATGAAATAATGGCTTCTGCACAAAGCCGGGGTTCGCATAATTCCACTTAGATCAATGTGAATATTATCCAAAGGTTGCAAAGCTCTTGTTCGAGTATCAGAGTGTGGTTGACGATGGGCTTTTGACAAGTCACATGAATTGCATGGGAGGGATTCAGGTAAAACAACTTTTGAGAGAGATAAAGGTAAACCCGTAATGACATCTCCTTTCACCATCTGCTTTAGATAAGTAAAATTCGGGTGGCCTAATTTGTGGTGAAGTAAATGTAATGATTCAGTTGTTTTGTCGGTTATAGCTGAAGCAGTTGAAAATTCAGATGGTATAGTACGCACAGCACTGAGTTGGAGTAGCATTGAATTAGGGTGAATTGTTCCCGCCAAGGCCGTGACTCCATTACGTTGAATCACAAAGGAACCGTCTTCTCGTCGATCAGTTATCCAACCTTCAAAGAATAGTCGTCCTCCAGCGATAAGATTTTGCTTAAGAGAAGGTACAAATAAGCAATTGGTGAGAGTGGTAAGGTCACCAGTTGGACCGCAAATAGTAACATCACCCCTCCCTTTGATTTGGAGAGTCGATGAGCCACCAGCCAATCCTACTTGTTCGTTTGATGATGATAAGTCGGTAAAAGTATCCTTGTTGAAGTATTTCTCCGACTTAAACATGTGGTGCGTAGTGCCACTATCAACAATGCCAAAATGTTCATTTTCAATTGATGCTTTAGGATCAACTATATATACGGCGCTTGCACTTGCTGAAAATTCAGATCTTTCCAGTGCAGCTTGAAGTGACGATAAGGACGGTAATTCTGGATCAGGTATGACTAGAGAGGCTGACGCTGTGACACTCTTAGATGAAGATGATCGATTAGAAGGTGAGTTTGGTGATCTATCTACCCATTCTCCTCTGGCTTTCTTTGATTCCACCCAAGCATTGTATTTATTTATGTTTCTTGGGTTTCTAATACAGTCAGCTTCAGAATGTGTCAATGATAAACATTTGGTTGGTGAGCATCGAGTTTGGACGAATCCTTGGCGTCTTCGCATAGGACTGGCTGCATTTGCCTGGGGGACAGACAGAGAAGGAAGGTTCAAAGCTGGGTGGAGCATAGCTCTATTTGTAATTCTGACTTTAAGTGCTTTCACGACGTCATCGTATTCAAAGGTGTCAGAATCAGCGATATCTTCTGCTACCTTCGTCCAATCTGAATTGAGTGACATTAATAATTGTTGTCCGAGTTCAACATTTCCAATCTTTCCACCTGCAGCCATGTAAGCAGTGTACAACCGATTAAATTCATCC